AGGACAATTTCAAGACAGCAATATGTCGATTGACAGCGAGAGCATCCGGGTTAATGACCAGTTCAACGTCAGTGCTACGCTAAATATAAAATCTCGTGAAGTGCCCGTCACTAAGCGATATCACATGGTACTCTCGAAGAAGCAGCCATGTTGGTTCGCAGGCAACAACGGAGCTGGTTTAATTGATGGCAGCCATGTTGACTACTTGGAGAAGACCAATATCGTAAACTCATAAGATAAAACACATCGCTGAGGCGGTAGACAATTTGTCAAGAAGTTACCAATACCTATTCAAAATTAAGTTGTAGGGATAATGACAATAGATTTAAACTTTTCTAGATAGCAACAAAATATGTTCTGGAACTTATGAGCGAGAAATTTTGACCTCAGTAAATTTTACTACACTGCAATCCATTATGTTATTTTTAGATAAATAACATAACACTTTGATAGAAATTGGTTTAGCTTTCAGTGTACTGCACATATTGACACCAAACCAAAACAATTATAAACAATTTTGTCCCAGTCATATACTCTATTATAAAATATATAGCTCCATATTTGAACATAAACTTGATACCAAGAAAGAGCATTAGACTTCGAAATTACGTGTCATCAAAATATATTTCATTCCTGGTTTTAGCAGACAGGCATTATATAATATTCAGTATATGATTATACATACATACATACATATATATACATATATATATATATAGTTATACGAGGATTGATTTTTTTTGGCAAAATAAAAATGAAATTTATTAGTATTTCAAGTGTACTGAAGAAACCTAATTCCCTGTATCTTAACTCAACTTATATCCGCTTCACCAAAGTGTAACTGGCTCCTTTTGGTTATATGTGATACACTTTAATATTTTTCTTCATATTTTACAATTTCCTATGTTTTATATGGAGGTAAATCTAAACAACATTCCGTTTTGTGCAGCTAAGTTTTTATATTGAATAAAATATAAATTTATATATTACAATATCAGTATGTTTCTTGAAATGCATTTATCCCCTTTTTAATTATTTTAACGCAGATCTATATCTTGTGCGTAGCTTAATTTTCTACAGGCTCGCGTATCTTAAATTGATAGGTACAATTTTAAAACGTAAACACGAGATTTAACACAAACGCAAGAGATTTAATGCAAATGCAAGAGATTTAACGCAAACGCAAGAGATTTAACGCAAACGCAAGCTGCGAATAATCTCCAGCTTCTTCGAGGTTTGCCAACGTCATGTGACGTCAACTGTTTACTTGTGAAAATCTATGGTTTTTAGATAGCTATGAAATGTTTTGATAATGTTATCTTTATTTTGAGAATAAAAACCGAAGAAACAATAGTAAAATCCGGAAAAATTGTTATAACAAATTTGTTTGTAGGATGATCAGTGTGCCGAGCACACGGGAAGAAATAAATAAACAAATACCTGTACCGGTATGCATTTAAAAACGATAGGCATAAAGCTAACGATTATAATCAATGTTGAACAGAAAGTAAATTGAGGTGAATTATTAAAACGTATTTATACTAGACCATTTGGATTAAAAAAAAAATGTTTAGAACCGTATACTGCTGCCAATTTCCATTGAAAGGGTGCAGGAGTGTGCAAAAATGGACTAACTGGTGCCAAGTGGAAGAGCGTTAGACCACAGCTTGGAATTTTCATTACTAAGACAATTTTTCCGAGTTGTTTGGGACCAGTGACGGCGCTATGGGGGCTTTATACTAGAGTTCCTATATAGAGAGAGTTGCGACATGAGACGCTGCTGGGTAGCCATCTTGGTACCTTGCATGCATGAGTGAACGCAAAGCCTATGCTACAGTGTGGCGATTGCAAAAATAATTGAAAAAAATAAATAAAAATATTAATAAGAAAATTTTATGTCATTTGAGAATAAATATCTGTTAATCAACATGTGTTTGACATTCATAACAAAATTCCAAAAGAAATTGATTCTCAATACGCTATTATTAATTATTATATTACATGCAGTTTTTGCTTCACCAAAATTGCATAGCGCCTTAGCTAGGTGTACAACATCGCGTTTGCTCGGCTCATAAAATAACTAGTAGTATATAATAAGAGAAATCTGCAAGTCACTGAAAAAGTACTACGCTACTTTTACAGCTAGCTAGGCTTAGTCTAGTACTACCTACCTACGTACTGTACTGCAGAGGCCTATTTTAATACACTATTTAGATAGGCTCTTCTTTTCCTATCTTGTAGCAGATGTCGAAACATTTTTTTCATTTCTTAAAACTTATAATTTATAGTGCTGTAGAATAGTCTTTAAGAACATTTCCAGAAAAAAATAATGTGATACGATTCTTCGTTACGGAGTTATGAATTTTTAAGTAACATGAGTTCAATAATTTTGCCTCAAAGCTTATCTTATTTTTGTTGGCTATGCACCACTGACTTGATCCATGGGCACCAATGGGCACCAAGATGGTAGATAGAGGGCGACCAGTAGTCACGTGACCTGAACCGCTCATGTCGTAACTCTATAATATACTAGGAACTCTATTTTATACCAGAGCCATAGATAGAAAGCGCTGCGACCGTTGCAACATTGAGAATTTAGAAGCCATTTTGTGTCCAACGCGATGCACGTTCTGTTTCTAACGTGATGTGCGTTCCGGTGTATAATATTGTATATTACAATTAGTGGCCTCCTGTATAGTTTAATTTCATTTAATCTTTTAGCAGCCGAATTTCATTTCAACTATGGCTATGTTCTCACACGGCAGCTAACGGTTAGCAGGATCCTGTTATTTTTGCAAATAAATGATATTTGACGACCAGCAAAAATTAATCAAATCTGCATATCAAAATGTAATTAAAATCCGTATATAGGGTATATAGATTGTTGCTCTTTAAATGTGAATATGAGCGAGCCCTATACAAATCTTATGTTATTAATTTGATTATTATTATTATTTATAAATATTAAAATAGTATAGGTCAGTTGGCCGCAATATATAAACTGTCCTTTGCTGTAAATGTTGTAAATTGTAAGTGTTAAATGATATACAGGATCTGTGATATATTCAACTTGTGTACCTATTTTTCTACCACGCTATCGGTTAGCAAGTTGAGCGTGTTTCTATCATCAACCAATCACACGTACGCGTTTACAATTTCCAGTTTCTTATTGGCCAGTGATTCGATCATCATATTCTTGGTATCCGGATCGGTATCTTGGTCGTATGGACGCACGGCAGCTGCCGTGTGAGAACATAGCCGGTAACGAACTTTGGCGTAACGCGAACACCCTATACCAGATCCATGGCAACGACTAGGACGCCCTCTCCCAAAACTGATTACTTTTCTGCAAAGATCTTATAAACACAAGATAGTGTTCTCCGCGAATAAAACCGTTGATTTGGCACAGAAAAGTAATCAGTTTTAGGAGAGGGCGTCCTAGTCGTTGCCATGGATCAAAGATAGGGTGTTCGCGTTACGCCATAAGTATCGTATCGTAGCTTTAACCTGCGTTTCGGAGGCTTATCTGACGAAAAAGGTAAAAATCCAATCAAGAAAATCAAGGAACTTATAAGGGAAAAACTTGTGCTTGATGACGATATCTGTATTGAACATAGATCTGGTAAGCTGAACCCCCAGTCAAAGAAAACTGTCATTGCTAAATTCGTATACAGACCCAAGAAACTTGTAGTTCTTAAGAAGGCAAATTTAATTTAAAAAAAACAAAAAACAAGTCATTCTTCGTGCTTGAAGATTTGCCGTTTGCAGATGTAAGGAAGAAACGTGAATTTAAGGACGAAATGACCAAAGCATACCAGGGCAAGCATCCACTATTTAGGAACGGAACACTATACATAGACGAGAGACCATTTTATTTATTGTAGTACATAAATTGCATGGCGGAATAACAGTAACATAACTTAAACATGTATTGTAGATATGGAAATCATATATCGTACGAATTTGATTTGCTGCCAAGTATTATATTTCTTCTTCTTTTTTTTTATTCTTTAGCAACTAAACTTCTTTTTTTTTTATAATTATATTTACTTATTTCTCAATTATAATAGTATTATTATTGTTGGTGCTCTTTTTCGTAGGCTATTGTACACTCAAGTAAAAATTACAAATCTCTCCCCTGAACTTCATTCCACAAACTTAATATTGATATAGGCCTTGGATATATAGATAAACGGTATGATATAACCAAAATTCAATTTTATCCTATTTGGTACATTGGAAATGATAAGCAGGATGAATCTCTTTAACATAATAATTAATAATCTCGCTCCCCAATCTGACACACTCGATGATTGTACTTTTATAATATTACTCAATTCAATTCTAAATTTGAACCACTGTCTGAATCTAAATTGTCCTTATTTCATCTAAATATGAGAAGCATTGCAAGAAAATTGGACATGCTTGAACTGCTTGAACACTTTATAAATTTACTAAATTGCAAATTCTCCATCATTGGTATTTTTCAAACCTGGTTACATAACAACACATTAAGTCCGTATCTCACAAATTTTTCCTTCAATTCTAGCAATCGCTTAGGTACGGTAATAAAGGTAGCAGGGGTGTCGCTTTCTTCGTAAAAAACGATATCTCTGTAAACGTACGTCGAGACCTTGCTCTTCCTAATGAATTTTGTAAATCTCTCTTCTAAAGAAGTAAAACGATTTAATAGGAATTGTGTGCAGAACATCAAGCACCCACCTTGATTCTTTTACTAAGCAAGGTGATGCAACTTTAGGAAAAATTAACAACGAAAATAAACACTGTTATATTATGGGAGACTTTAATATTGATCTTCTGAAGTTCCACAACCATAATCCAAATAATAGTTAACTTAATATGTTTTTGTCTCATTCGTTTTTTCCCAGTATTTCCAAACCAACAAGAATTACTCCTATGTTTTATATTAAAGTAAGTCTAAACATCATTCTGTTTTGTGCAGCTAAGTTTATAAATTGAATAAAATAAAAATATATATTACAGCATCAGTATGTGTCTTGAAATGCATTAAGCCCCTTTTTAATTATTTTAACGCGTATCTATATCTTGTGCCTACCTTAGTTTTCTACAGGCACCATGTCTAAAAAATTATTTGTACAATTTTAAATGCAAACGCAAGAGTTTAACGCAAACGCAAGCTGCGACAAATTCTTAGCTTCTTGGAGGTTCGCCAATGTCATCCCACATCAACCGTTTACATTCAAATCATATGGTTTTTAGATACCTAAATAAATTGATTTGATAACGTTAACTCTATTTTTGAGAATAAAAGCTGGAGAGACAATGTTAAAACCCTGAAAAATTGTACCGAGCACACGGGAAGTAGTAATACGCATTTAAAAACGATAGACCTAGCTAAAGATTATAATCTCTGTTCTCTGTAAAAGTAAATTAAGGTGAATTAATAAATCTTATATTGTGTATACTCTGTAGGCCCTTCGGAATAAAAAAAAAATATTCAGAGCCGCATACTGCAGAAATTATCACAATATTAGGATATTTCATTCTACTTTACAGTACTGTTAACTAAATCGTAAGCTAATGAATATGCATAGGCTGAATGACTCACGGTAAACGGTCTCTGAATGGTAGTAAGTGGCATGAATATTAATGACGATAAGGCAAAGTGTCAGTGCAAATATGTTATCAAAATGGTTAGTAAAGAGGTATCTAGCCAGGTTGAACATAACATATCTTAAAGGAAAGATGTGGACTCACAGTCAGCATATCGTGGGAACAGCCATTATCTGCTTTCTCATTCCTTATTGTTTATCTATACTCAGCATTAAGACATTGTCTTTGCTAGTTAGCATTCTTACTTAAGATAACAACTCAGCTCTCTAGTTAATTCTTATTTACTATTTTTGTTTATTTCGCATTAAGTTTTAGTACCGCCCATGCTTTGTTGATAGGCCAATAAATTTCAGGCAACTTGTAGCTAAGTACACTATCTCTAATGTATATCAGTCACGCTGATGAAGTCCACAGGAGTGGACGAAGTATTCGTGTTTAATAAATTATGTTCCAAAAATACGTCAACTTGACTTTTGTTTTCATTGTCATCACTTTCACCAATATATTTGTTATGGAACGACGTGCTACATCATAGATGTGTATAAGTGTTGTGTTTTATTTGCAGTCGTCGTGACACATAATTCCATTGAAAGGTTGCGGGGGTGTGCAAAAATGGACTAATTGGTGCCAGGTGGAAGAGCCGGTTGGATCACAGCTTGGAATTTTCATTACTTTGGCAACTTTTTCCAAGTTGTTTAGTAACAGTGGCGGAGATAGGGAGGGATATAGATTTGAAGCCATAGAGAAACTACAAACTCGATATTAGACCGACCAGCACAGTATAATTTAAAAGTAACAAAAGAATTTTACGCAGACCTAATTATTTATATTTAATAAAGGAATGGGTCTGTATTTATTAGAAGTTCTCAGGGTGTAGTAGATTTCTGCTTCCTTTTTGATCACTGTAACTTAGTGACATACTTAGTGACATCGTTCTCTTTTCTTCTGTGAATTGTTAATTTTACCACTCATAACTAATATATTATATAGGTTAATGGGTCTATATTTATGAGGTTTATGATCTAGTGTTTCTGCTTCCTCCTTCGAAGATGTTATTGTTTAAAAGTATCCTAATGCCATACGAATGACGTCGTTTCCTATTCATTGACCTGTTACTCGTGCTATGACAATGACAAAATGTATTAGGACTGGTGTAATAATACTTTTTCAGGTATCGTTTAAGCGAGACTTTTTATACCTTGTTTCGCGAACTTATTTAATTACTTTCAAAGTGTATTTTTGTAACAAAATGTAATAGGTAATGATTAAGAAATGTGACAAATAAAAAAAAGAAACAAAGAAAAAAATAATTATGTAACATATTGGAAGTTTTAGTATTTCATTATAACGAATATCTACATTCTGTAGTTGTGATCCTTCACCAAAATTTAGTTCAGAGGATTAGTCAAGTCATAAGGTAGTCAATCATTATGCATAAAATTTAATGATGTTAACTTTGTTGTAATGCATAAGTATGTAAGTGAAAAAAGACTGGTTTCCTTAAAATCACTCCACTGTCGCTAATATAGTGTTTTCAGTGCAACTGTTGTACTGCATAGGGTCCCAGACGCAATCGGCAAAGCTTCCCTACTCGACCAGCCAATCAGCATTACCTAAAGCTGTTGGCGATGGCGTGTAGCATTTGTATGGAAACCAAAGATCTTATATTTACAAGATGGCGCTCCGCATATATGTACAACAAATAGAACTGTCAATTTTCAGTATAAGTAAAACGTAACCATTTTTGAGAGAGGCTTCCTTCTTGTTACCATGGTTGTTACAGAATTTTGCGTGCAGAAATTGCGAGATGCGCTATCTTTAAAGTAGTTAATAATCTTTGATGTCAAAGTTGAAAAGTAGTCACTTTTGTGAGTGGGCGCCCTACTGAACACTGCATTATTACAGAACTTGCACACAGAAATCGTGGAGAACGCTCTCTTTTAATTATAAGCTCTTTGAAGGAAACCAAGCTAAAGACACACTAATGACTTGGACAATATATAAGCTTATAATTTTTTTTTTATAATTTTGATTGTCCGTAAGGACCAGCAGTGTTCATTTCGCAAGGTATTATCCAGCACGGATAATACAAGAAGTGCTACTAAGGACTGCTTGTACAAGAAGGGCTACGAAGCTCTCTACACGCCATTCTTCATGAATAAACAAGTAATGCAAGAGGTAGCCCAGCTTAGCCAGTTTGATGAAAGACTTTATAAGGTTAGGTTATTAACTTTTTCTCAAGTATATTTTGGCTTTTTGAATAATAAAGGATGCTTAATATTTTTATTAGTTTTTTTTTTGGTATAAATTACTATTGAGGCTTGCTATCCCAAAACTAGCGTATTGTTTTAATTGCTAAACTGAGTAATTAGTATAAGAATATGGCAGAATTGTATACTTTAGTACAGAGAAGCTGTAATACTTTTACTTATAACTTTGACAATATTAAATCGATTCTAGTCTATGACCCTTGATTATAATGTATAGAATATGAATATATTAAAAAGTAAATTTTCATGTTTTTGTTATTGATGCTAGTTTTGGCTTGGCAAGCCACATTTTATTATACTAAGCCCATCCAATCCAAAATAGTTGACTCAGTGCCCGCCATCTAATCAAAGAAGAACAATTAAATGTTCCCAAAATAAATATATAACTTATATCATACTATGATATTATGTAATGTATTGTCCATTAAACACTTCAGATACAGTAAAATAAAAAATCAAATATTCACAACACCCAGTAGTTATGTGCAATCTAAAGGCAACAATGAAAGCGCACATTGCAGATCTACACAGTGAAAATGATTTTCAATATTCTCAAAATAAATATCTTCATTTGCAGGTTATTGGCAAAGGCAGCGAGAAAGCCGAAGACACAACGTATGAGGAAAAGTACCCGATAGCAACCTCTGAACAACCAATCGCAATTTTGCTCAATTCAGATTTTTCAATATTGCTTAGCTTAAAAATTGCTTAAAATTAAAGAGTTAATTTTACGCATCATGTGCCATCTAAGAAGATTTTAAAGCTAAGATTTTTTTAAAGATGGTTTAATAAATCAGCTTAAGATCTTTGCTTAGGAACATACTTTTTTCACTTAAGACATTTGCTAAGCTGAGATTGATAAATATTGTGCCAAACCCCTAAGTAAACTGAATCACTACAAAGTATTGCTAGAGTACCAATCTTATCCAGTCACAACAATATGTCATCCTCCCAAAACATTAAATTTTTGTTTATGAAATAACTTACTTGTTAGAACTATAGACAAAAAGCTAATGAACATCGTATAAACGTTTTTCACACTTCTGTCGTATTGATTAGGGAACATTAAAAATTCACATTTATCTATCAAAAACTCTTATCAAAATTTGTATTTCTATGTAGTGATTGAATTAAATTGTGGCAAATTTTAGTATACGCCTGATAATATGCAAATAAGATGTATCTGAATGTTTTGTTTTCTTTAATTGGTCACCGACCTACTATACATTCCTACAAACATTAATTGTCCACACACCGGTACCAGATTATAAAGTGTTTATGCAGATTTAAATTACATAATTATTTAAATTATTATACTTTATATTCATACATATATTAAGCAAGAGAATGCAATGAGTGCTGGGGTGGCGCCAGGATTTGCCCGACAGGGGAGTTCCGACTCCCCGACGGGGTGAGAGGGCGATGTCCCCGACGAAAAAGAGTGGGCGTGGTCAAAATATCTCGAAAGTGTCCCTGGAGGCGAAGCCTCCGAAAAATATGACTTAGGGGTTTCAAAGGCTTATTTAATCGATTTTAGAGTCTACTATATGTAGAAAACACACACACTTTTTTTTTCTCCCCGACGAATTGTGGTTTTTCTCCCCGACCGGGGAGCCAAGC